TCTTTAATGGTTTGAGCAATCTTTCATTCTTACATCTGATAATCTGAGCAATGTAGTTGAGGATAGCGATATGCAATGTAACAACCACTGTTGATTTGTATTAATTTGTCTTGAGACCCTGTATCACTTTGAATGTTCTTGCTTTGATTTGTTTATGTTCGTGATACTGGTACGCTGTTACTGTTCTATTTTTTTGTTTGCATCTCATGTACTACTCTCTTTAAAATAAAATAAAATAAAATAAAATTTAAAAAATGAAATCTCAGCAAAGTACGCAAGGTCTTTTAAAATCTGGCCTCTGCGAGTCTCTCTGACTGACTCTGCCCCACACCCCATCCTTTAGAGCACACAACCATGCTGTGCTTCGTTCCCAGGTACCCTGAGGACGCCCTGCTCACTCCTCCCCTCGGTTCTGCTCCCCCACCCCACTCTCCAGCTGAATAGCACGCTCTTCCTTAAAATTCAATGGAGGGATCATCTCCAAGAATTTTCCTTTGACCCTCCATCTTCACATCAAGCCTGATACATGCCCCGTGCTTTATCCTCTTATATTTCCTACACTGTCGCGCGTGAGTTTAACGTCCCTCTTCCTTTGCTACACTGTGAGTTCCTTCACGTCTTGGATTATAACTCCATCACCTGCCATGGGGCTTGGAACACAGCAGACATCCAATACATATTTATTTAAAGGATGAATAACAAATATGAGATGTGATCAAAACCCAGGGTAATGTTTAAATTAAAATTTATCAAAGTGAAAGACAAATAGCCACTAACCTTCCTCAAAATGCCCCCACTATGCTTCAGAAAGGCTTACCCCATTGCTCTTGCCATTTTCTGAGGCAGTTCTGGAAAAAAATGTTTTCTGTTGTTCTTTGCACTTATAGATTTTTTAAAAATCAGATTTCATTGGTACACTTTAGGTCTATATGATGATCACATTCATCTTAGAGAATTTGTGCCTGTACATGATAGAACTTGTTTCTTTTTTTTCCCATTCCCCTACCCTCACTTCCCCACTTACATAAGCTTTGTTTCCATTTTTTCCTTCCTTTCTCATTTTTTCTTTTCCCTTTTTTCCTTTCCTCCTCTCCCTCCCTGTTCCCTTCCTCATTTGAACATTTTCTTCCTATTTCACAATATCCAGTATACTTTTTGATTCTTACTTACACTTTTGGTTTTTTACACTGGAAGAAAAAAATGCAATATTTACATATATGTGTCCAATTTATTTCACTTAAGAGTGTGGTCTCAAGGTGCATCCGTTTATCTAGAAATGTCTCAAGCCTATCCTTCTTTATGGTAGAGTGGTACTCCATTGTATAAAAAAACCACTAGAAATCCTCTTTTTGAGTGTCTTTTTTTGCAGGGTGGGGTTCTTTTTTGAGACAGAGTCTCACTATCCAGTTCAGGCTGGCCTTGATTTCATTATATAGCCCACATTGGCCTTGAGCTCAAAGTGACCTTTGTACCCCAGCCTCCTGAGTGCTGGGAGTATAGGCGTGCACCACTATACTTGCTTTAGTGTCCTAATGAGGAGTGATAGAAAAAAATGCTGTGAATGGTGTTGCCAAGTACCAGGCAACAGAAAGGCAGGTCATAAAAACATTAAGGCCACGTCCTCATTCACCTATCGTATCTGACACTGTGACTTCTAGATCTTCCTCACAGTCTAAATGACTATGAAAGGTAAACATTTTGAATTGACTCAAGAGATTGAAGCAGACATGACAGTGCAACTAGAGACACTTAAATGGGGTCTTCCAGAACTGCTTCAGAAAGTAGCAAGAATGATGGGATAAGTGTGGTTGAAGGGAGGGGTCATATTTTGAAAGGAATGAATGGCAATGGGTCTTCCTGTAATACATTTTTTTCATTTAAACATTTACTATATTTTTCAGTCAGACCTCTTATCCCATCATCATGTTTGTAAATCACAGTTTTCCTGAGCCATGCCTACTTGTGGATGAGCAGGAGTGGAAACACTTCAAGTGCAGTAGCTGTAATGCTTCAGGGTTGGACCTGTGGAACATGTCATCCTTATGGTGTCAGGCATGCCCCCTGTCATCATGAAGGTTATAAAGTGAGGAAATCCACCAAGTGCCCCAGAGACTCTCAGAATAAGAATATTCGGCTATTGTTCCTATACTCTTTGGGAAGCAACTTCAGAATAATTAAAATTGTTAAGGGTGGATCATTTTATTATCTTCTGGAGAAAGAGCTGGTGAATGGATGGCCATTAAGTTGAGGTATAGCATAATGGCCTCTCCTTTCCTGTAGTGACTATCACTGTAAAATTTAAGAAATTATGCTAAAGTGGTTGAGGTTGGAGACAACACTAATGAATAATGATTATATAAGAGTTAGGATGTGAAGAAGAAAATTTAAGCAGTAGTCCTAGGAGATAACTCTGACTGGTGTCAGCAGCATCCGAAAGGTATAATTTTTCTCCTGTTTTGAGGGGAAGATTGATCGAAGAACACGATCCCTTCTCTTTTGATTGTTCTTTGTGGGGCTGAAATGATTAGCTACACTTTGAATTAATACTTTGACCCTTTTCTGTAGACCACTGACACTGTTTATATTACTGAACTCTTTTGACTTATGTATAGATTTTTAGCTTCTTGAAGCTGTGAACCCTTACAACATGCAGAGCTGTACTTGGTAAAAAAAAATGAGTAGATACTTGAATTGAATAAAATGTATTTCTTAGCATAGATTTTTTTTCATCATAGTATATTTTCTTTTTTTTTTTTTTTTTGGTTTTTCTCCGGTACCGGGAACCGAACTCACGACCTTGCACTTGCCATGCAGGCGCTTTTGCCGCTGAGCTAAATCCCCAGCCCCCATAGTATATTTTCGTATGGAGTTATCCTTCACTATCCAAGATGGATTGATTCTAGGACACCCTAAAATCTGCAGATTCTTGTCACTTCTGTAAAAAAGTAAAAATAATTAAGGTGTGTTATACACATGTCCTAACTCCTCATGCTAAATATAATCATTATATACTGGAAACATGTATCAATAAAAATTAAAAAAATTAAAAATGGAGTAGTATTTGCATACAACCTGCCTAGGCCCATCTTCATTTGTACCTTATCTCTGGATTGCTCATAATGTTTAGCACAACGCAAATGCTGTGAAAATAGTTGCGATACTTATTAGTGGGGGGATAGTGGTAAGAAACAATGTCTCTGTATGTTCACTCCAAATTCAGTTTTTCTCCTAAATATTTTTGGTTTGTCAGTAGGATTCATGGACGTAAAACCCATGGGTTAAGAGGGCCAAATTTATTGAGTTCAGTAATAATGAAGGCTATATAAGGACTGAGAAGAGCACATTACACTTATATTTTGATCCCTTATAATTTTTTATTAAATTTTATGTTTAGAGTAGCTTTGAAAAACAGTGCAACGAGGGACTCATTGAAGTAGAGGCAGCCCGGATATTAATTGGTGCTACCAAAATCTACTGCCTCATCCAAGGAAAGTAAGTTTAATACTTCTTTAATTGATATCTCCAAATTGAATGGATATGTGAAGAATAAACAAACTAAGAATTACACGCCCAGATTGACCAATCTTTTATCTCATCTATTTATATTCATCTGTAAGTCCATCTGATCATCTATCTACCTGTTCATCCATCTGTTCATCTGTCCATCCATCCATCTATCCAAATGCCCATCTGTCCATCTGTCCATCTGTCCCTCTATCCATCTGTTTTTTTTTTTTTTTTTTCTTATTTGCACATTTCTTCCCTGCAGTTTCATAACCTTCATGGCATTAGGGGTTCTGGAGAAAGTTCTGACAGTAATGACATTAGATAAGAAACTAGGGGATCTATTAATGAGAACTTATACAACTTCAATTACTATTATTATTATTTTGCCTCCATATCATAGTCATTAAATTACTGGATAGAAGAGGTACAGACAACTGGAGCACGCTATTAGACTGCTTCCTGGGTTGGAGCAGACACTGGAGGAATTGGTTTGACTGGTGGTGTTGATAGATGCCAGGAAATCTGTTGGGAAGAGCTCAGTGCCTTAATGATAGATTCTATCTGGTCACAGTATTGACAAGCATTAAAAACATTAGACTGAGATATTTGTTTGTTATTTGGGGGGAGTGTACCAGGAATCAAACTCAGGAACTCACGCTTGCCAGGCAGGCACTGCACCACTGAGCTATATCCCTGGCCCCTAAAAAAATAAACAAAACATTAGATTATGACTGTTTCAAGACAAAGCTGTGAGGCAATGATAGGAGATACTGGCTTCATGATAGTTAGCATTTTTGCAGCCTTGAAATCTCTTCGGGAGATCTATTGTCAGTTTCTAGGATTACCTTCATGAAAGTAGGGCCTTTTGATTTTTGGAGAGGCTTAGGCTAGGCAACATGTGATAAAAGGAAGCTTGATTCCAGAACCCCAAAAGGTTGGACTACAGAAACTTTAAGTATGTTCTACCTCAGGTAAGGAATGATTCTTGGAACAGGGGCACAAGGGGTCTCGTGCAAAAAATATTCTGGCACCATTCATGGGTGGATGGATGCAGAGGTTTGGAAGTGAGTGAACATACTAAATTTATATCTAGTATATCTTCTATGTTTATATTACCCCAAATTATAGTACTTGTCTTTTATTATAGCACATATGTGTGTTTTTCTTTGTTAGATTCATGAGCATTTATGATGTTTCAACTTATGTAAGAGCTAGAAGTTGGCTTATAATGTTTAAAAACATATTAACTTACATGGAATACCATAAAGAAAGGGGAACTTTTGTTTTACCTGGGTAAGTGCCATGAACATTTAATAGCAATGTAAGTGAACATATTGTATCTCTACATTTTCAGAATAGAATACTTTGATTTTTCTTATTAAAATGAAACTAACATTATGGTCAACTCCTATTCAGTGGTGACTGAAGAGAGGATTTGTTTCTCTTTTCCATTCTGTTTTAGCAACTTCATTGATATGTCCATTAAAATATGGGCAGAAAAAAGAGAATAGCATTTTGGGGGCATATTGTATACTGGGCTGCTTGCATATTCTTCTGGGTATAAGAAAGCGAGTAAGAAATACCTAATAGTGGACTAGGTCTAGCTCAGTTGAATTTTCATCTGTTCAGAGGATAGTAATGTTGATGTCTACAATTAGGAAAAAAAACCATGGTCTTGATAATACCTATCACCAACTTTTCAAAATAACACAACATACAGATTTTACTTAACTTGGATAGACTCTTTACTTTGTTATGTCAATTGTGAGCTTATATAATTTTTAGAGCAGGAAAATAAGGTTTTATGATCAATGGAAGATGTCAAAGCAAGAACGTACAAGGAATCCTAATGCTACTAAAACTTCATGGATCTTAACCTTTGATAACCATAGCTAATAAACTTTTTTGTTTTCTTTTTCTTAAATATAACAAATTTAAGAAGAAATACAAAAAAGTAACAAACGTATTTCTAGGATCTTAACATATACCCCTTCAAGTTCTTTTTGGTAGACGCCATTTTATTTAATTTTAATTTATTTGTTTGCTTATTTATTTATTTATTTACCAGTTGAAACAAGGTCTCACTGTATAGTTCAGGCTGGCCTAAAAAATCACTGCAATCCTCCTGCCTCAGCCTTCTGAGTGCTGAGGTTACAGGCATTCACCACCACACCCTGCTTCCATTTTGTATAGATTGGAAAGTTTTAAGAAACATATACCATGGTAATTATTGAATAGAATATATTTTCCTGTTCTTAGAGTTTTAAAAATGCTGATATGCAACTCATTTTCTTCTAAATTTCTTTATTTCTTGCTTTTGATTTATAAAAATTTGTATTGCTTTCTATGTTCTATGGCCTTGATTTTAAAAAATGCACCTCATCTCTGATGTGACCTAACAAGGATCATATTTTTATATTTCTTCATTATGATATTTATGTACAGGTAATATTTATTTGTCCTTAACTGTTGTTAAATGTTATTTATAGTCTTTTAAAATTAATTTTAGCAATTGGTTTAAATTGTTAGACTTTTAAGTGATCTCACATTTTATTTGATCTTATTTTTTTTCAGGAGAAATAGATTAATCTTATTTGTATACCGCATTATATTTTCAGAAGAATTTGAATATGCAGGATATATTATAACATTCATGTATATTTATCCTCTCATAATACATTTATGGCCAGCGGCAAGAAAGTTAAATGTGTCGGCACTGAGTTCAATGAACTACTATTATTTATTTTTATATGTATTGCAGGCAGCATTGAAGGTACTATTTAAAATAGAAATGTATTACATTTTATAAGCAAGAACAATTCATATAGTTTGGATCTATTTTTGTTGTATTATTGAAATGATTTGAGACCAGAAGCCTTTTGTTAATATATTTAATGAGATACTGGAGTTTTAGTAAACTTTTTGAGTTTTCTAAGTTTAATAAGGAAATCAGTAAGTAGTCAAAGTCTTGGATATCAGATAAGAATCATGTAGGTACCTGGTCTCAAGGGCCAGGTAGAAGAGATTTGAAAAAAAAAAAAAGACATAAATATTTCCCTCAAATACTTTAATTTTGCAAGAAATAAAAAGTGAATAACAGCAAATTTGTATAACATCAAGAATCAACAAATCGGATCATATAGAATAAAAAAGGGTCTTCACAGCAAAGGAAACAACCAACAGAATGGGGAAAAGTTTTGCCAGATATTCCTCAGACAGAAGATTCATATCTTGACTATATAAAGAACTCAGAAAAATTAGATCAGCAAAACAAAAGACCTAATAAAAAAATAGCAAACTGAAATAAATAAACACTTCTCAGAAGAAGTACAAATGGCCAATAAATACATGAAAAAATGCCTAACATCACTGGCCATTGGAGAAACACAAATCAAAACAGCCCTGAGATTCCATCTTATCCCAGAAAGAATGGCCATCATTATGAAATCAAATAATAGCGAATGTTGGACAGACTCCAGGGGAAAAAGGAAACTTTCTACACCATTGATGGGAATGTAAACTAGTACAATCACTGTGAAAATCAGCATGGACATTCCTCAAAAAATGGAAACTAAAAATTCATTTGACCTACCTAGTCTCCTTCTAGATATCTTCCCAAGAGGGTTAAAGACCTCATATTATAATGATACACACATACCCATGCTTACAGGAGCACAGTTCATAACAGCTAAATCTCAGAAGTGGCCTCTATATCCATCCACAGAAGAATGGATAAAGAAAGTGTGGTAGCGACACACAGTGGAGTGCCACTCTGCCACAAAGAAAAGCTTGAGTCATTTGTAAGAAAATGAATGCACCTTGAGACCATCATGTTAAGTGAAATAAATCAGACATACAAGCTTAAATATCACATGGTCTCTCTTACATAAGAAAACCAGAGTAAAAATAAAGCGCAAAATAAAAGACAGTTAATAGGAAGTAGGGAGATAAATTGTTCTTTAAAGGGAAAGGGACCAAGAGATGCAAGCAGGAGGGAGGGAAGGAGGGAAAAAAAGGGTTGTGTTGTGTTCATGTACCAACTCCACACAAGGGCTGTAAGCATTATGTACTGCAAACAGGTACAAAAAAAAAAGATGAGGGTCAAGGGGTGGGCAGAAGAAGGAGGGGAGGGAAGGGAAAAGGGATGAATAAAGAAATTAAGATGTGTTATGTACAGGTACCAACTTACCCCAAGGAATGTGAAGATTATGTACTAATAACTAAACATTCAACCACCTCATCTTTGATAAAGGGGCCAATCAAACTCACTGGAAGAATGATAGCCTCTTTAATAAATGGTGCTGGAAAAATTGGCTCAATACCTGCCAAAAACTGAAAATAGACCCAAGCTTATCACCATGCACCAAACTCAAGTCAAAATGGTTCACAGATCTCAATATTAAACCAGAAACACTAAATCTATTGGAA